TGGTAGGTCCGTTGAACTCTCTTCTAGAATACTGATCGAATCAATTATGTTAGCAAACGTAGAGGCACATATCAAATCAGAGAGGCTCCAAAACTACTACATCAACAGCCTAACAAGCGGGACGGAATCTTGCTGCCAACAATATATATATTCATTGGCCTCTTACTAACACGGCAAAGTCATAATACCAGCGAGCATTTTCCCTCTTCGCTACAACAGCCTTGCTATGAATATTTCCATCATACAGCAGCAGCCGTCAGCACAGTGATGTAGTTCCTATGACCAGCTTCTCATGCATTGAGACATTCTACAAGAATCACGCCTGCAAGTCTACCTCGGGTACTACCGGCTTGGTGCCAGCATCGCGGGATCTCTTCTTAGTCAGAATTTACATAATCACCATAGAGACTCATCTTCCCCCTGACCGGGAGTCACCGAAGCATGTGGCCGAATCATTGGCCCAGAAAACCAAACAAACAGTCAACTCTCCCGTCGGATGAACACAAAACCACGGGACAGAACTGGACGACCGGCCAGGCACAGGTCCTGATCATCTGCAAAGTTTGGTCCGAAGCGAATTATGAGTATAGTAGACTGACCGGGATCCCATGTGGTATCATAGGGGAAAAAATCCCATTATAGTCGACTCAGCACCGCACCCGAGCAAGGGCGGATGGTGATTTGGACTACCTAGTTAGACAAGGGACTGAAGGATGACTACATACGATAGTAAGGTTGGAAAACCTGAAGCAGGGAGTAACTTAAGGGAAAGGGACTCGAAAGGGAGAGCTGACTTACATTGGGCAGCCATTTAAAGACACTATAGTCGTACTTTAGTCTAGTCAAGGGTGAGGACGGGGCCATGTGCTTCTTTTTGGGCTATGACTGGCTCATCCGTGATCTTCCCACCCGGCGGGAGTCTTATTCTTGAGTCTTTTTGGCCCTAAAACTTATACTAGGTACCCTGAGCATTCATTTGGAAGAGGATCTGATATGAGAATTGGATCTGTATGGCTGATTTCTGCAGACTGAGGTGCACCTAATCATGTATTATAGGATTCCCATGTTTGATTTCCATTCATTCTGGGTTTTCGGCGCCCTTCCCCCCCCCCTTTCTATCCCTTGATAGACAGGACAGGACATACCAGCACAGTTTACAACAAAATAGTCAGGAATGTGTTCCTGACGTTCCTTTCTTCTCCGTCCGGTTTGCTATTGGCCATGATTGCCCTCACACTTGCTCTCAATGATGTACTATTGCAGTCTAGAAGCCTACCGTGTGATGAGCTCACATTCAGGGCCTGCCGTCCACCTTTGCAAGCACCCGATAGACTATGGATGCATGATTATATCTATAGTGCAGCAGTCCCTTGGTTTAGTCCCATTCTGCTGTCCCCCCTCCTTCCCCACACGGACACAGTGATGTCCTGCTCCTGACCAGTGAATGGGGCACTCTTATAAGGGACAGTCCAGAGTCGTTTGCTGGTGACCGCCGCATGTGCTGAATTCCAATGCACTCAGTGGATTAAGGATTAAACCCCCTCCCCATCACATCATCAAGTACTTGACCATGATCGACGCTTTCCTTCAAGGAACTCCAATCGTTACTGTCTATCCCGAATCTTTGCGTTCAATCCCCCGCCCTCGCGACTGTCTCTGATGTCAGTGCCTGTATCTTGACGAAGAGAAAGCTGGTCCGATGGACGACCAGAAAACCCGTTAGCTAGCTAGTACTACTACTAGCTGCGTCCACTCCTTTGTAGGATAAAATCCCGAGTCTTTCTTCCTAAGTGGGCAAAGAAATCGAAAACCCAAGACAATCTTTGTTGGCTGTCTGTTGCCCCTCAGTCACTTCGGCAATGGGCTGCTGGCACTCTCTTCTGATTTGGTCCGTGCTTGGACCGGTTGTGCGGTCTGCGAATTTGACTTCTCATGTAGATCTATTGTAAGTAGTCCGAGCTCTCGTACTGACCCCGCGTTGAGAGTCAAACGGAAGGAAGGGGAGACAGCTAATGGTGGTGTATTCCAGTTTGGGCACGCAGAATGGCGGCAACGACTTTCCTGGCGTTGCGCGTCCGTTTGGTATGGTGAAACTGGGTCCTGACCTCTACGTCTCCGGGACAGACGCCTACTCCGGCTACTTGCCCAATGGCGAGTTCTCCGGGTTTAGTATGATGCACGAACAAGGCACAGGCGGTGCACCCAAGTACGGCACAGTCTCGCAGCTGCCGCTCACAGGGCACATCACGAACCCGCTCTCCAACATCACCGTCGGCCGTACAGGCACGGACAAAGCAACGGTGGGCTATTACCAAGCCCAGACTTCCGAGGGGACGGTGGTGCAATTGAGTGCATCCGCTCACGCGGGAATCTATCGCTATACCTTCCCTCTGGGCTCCATGGCGAACGTTCTCATTGATGTTTCGCATGTCTTGCCGTCCTATAGAGGGATGGGACTGAGTCAGGGCTATAAAGGCGGCAACATCACTGTCTTCCCGGACGGGCACTATGAAGGTCATGGTGTCTATGATAATGGCTGGAACCGCTCACCTGACTGGTCGATCTATTTTTGTATGCCCACTCCCTCCTCCTTGCGTCAACAATCCTTGGAACAGAGCTCATAGAAGACCAGGTGGTTATTTCGATGCTGATCCTATCAGTAATCGAACCTATGTGGGGACAGATGCAGATGGAAGTGTTCGACAGAACAGCGGCTTCGCATCGTCTAGCTCAGGCTCGACTCGAGTTGGGGCGGTGTACACATTCCAGGACACCTCTGTGATATCACGAGTAGGAATATCTTGGATTAGCACTGAACAGGCCTGCAGGAACGTCAATGATGAGATACCCGAAGACAAAGAGTTTGCCTCTGTTGTTGCCGAAGCTCAAATGGAATGGGAGTCCAAGGTCTTGTCCAAGGTGACAACCAGCAACACCAATGAAACGACTCTCAAACTGCTGTATACATCGCTTTATTTCATGCACTTGATTCCGACTAACCAGACGGGCGAGAACCCTGGATGGTCGTCCTCAGAACCGTACTATCAGGACATTTTCACGTTTTGGGTGAGTATCTCCCTAGGTAGTCCGATACAGAAGTGCATCGCTCACACGGTTCAAGGATCTTTTCCGATGCTCAACTGCTCTCATGCAGATTCTGCAGCCAACTGCCTATGAGGAGCAAATACGGTCACTTATTGATATTTGGCGCTTTGAAGGCTACATGCCGGACGCTCGCTCTTCCAATTATAACGGGCGCTCTCAGGGAGGTTCAAATGCCGATAACATCCTTGCAGATGCTTATGTCAAGGGGGTACGTGGTGCCGTGAACTGGGAAGATGGATACAAGGCGATGGTCAAAGATGCGGAGGTGACCCCTGCCAATTCCCCGGTCGATCCCCAGGCTCCCGACTCCTCGACCAAGGAAGGACGAGGTGCGCTACCAGACTGGCTTCGCTTAGGGTTCATCACACCCAGATACTCCCGATCAGTCACACGGGCGGTGGAATATTCCTGTAATGACTTCGGTCTATACCAGGTAGCCTCGGGGTTGGGGAAGGAGGACGATGCGACGAAGTATCTGAACCGGTCGCGTAACTGGCGCAACCACTGGAATCCCGAGCAGACCTCGCTTGGGTTCTCTGGTTTTGTGGTTCCTCGCAATGAGACAGGTTTCATGGAGACCGATCCCTTGGGTGACAGTGGCTACTGGGACGATCCTTATTATGAGGCCAGTAGCTGGGCATACTCTTTGAATGCCATCCATGATATGGAGAAGATGATTGAGTGGATGGGAGGAAATGAAACCGTACAGAAGCGGCTTGACACCATGTTTACTGAAGGGGCCAGTGGTTCTAGCGGAATCATTTTCGATCCAACGAACGAACCGTAAGTCCTTGCCCTCAGATGAACATCATGGGAGAGCATACTGACTTAAGTGTTTAGCATGTTCAACGTCCCTTACCTATATCATTATATCGGCCGACAAGATCTGTCCGTTGCACGATCGCGCAGTGTCGCTACATCGTACTACGGTACGAGTGCGTCAGGCCTTCCTGGAAATAGCGACGCAGGTGCTATGCAGACTTGGATACTGTGGAACATGATTGGGCTGTACCCTATCACTGGGCAGTCTACTTTCCTGATCCATTCCCCTTGGTTTGAATCCCTTACCATCGATCTTGGAGAGGGAAAGACACTGGGCGTCACTGCCACTGGCGGTGACGGCAATGGCGGAGGCAATGTCTATGTGCAGTCGCTGAAGTTGAATGGGAAGGACTGGAAGAAGAACTGGCTGGCGTGGGAGGACATATTCGCTGAAGGTGGAACGCTGGACTTTGAACTTGGGCAGATGGCGAGTGGCTGGTTCACTGGCGAATTGCCCCCAAGTCCGGCTTCATAAATGCTGATAAAACCTTTTCATGAACATGATAGTAATATGTTTTTCTGATCGAATCAGGGCCGCTCTGAGCACAGCTTTGTTGGTGGTAGAGTTTGGACCAGAATGAGGCTGCGGTCAACACGAGTAATTCTCACCCAACCATCTACTCCGTCAGTAGACAAAGGACTTGACTAGAAATGGGTAAAGCAGGCGTTGCAGATTTGTTCTTAGTGTTATGGAGCAAAATCGTGACCCAGTGCAGACAATTGTAATCGTGTTGATCATCATCTTAATACGATCTGCCCCAGAGAAGCGGCCGGATGTGCTAGGAGGAGGCAGAGGAGGGAAAATGGTCGATCACCAGGTAGTTCTAGAAGATCGCCGAGTTAATCGGCAACTGTTCGGGACTTCGGAAACCCCTTAACCGGGCACCCTACACAAGCACGACCGAACTTGTAAGTAAATTGCGGCGTACATACGTACCAAGTATATATCAGGATATGTTGAATCACCTATTGTCTCGTGGATCTGTTGAAGGATTTGTTAATTTGACCAAATTTGTGAAGGGGACGTGTAAGTTAATGGGGTGCGAGTGGGAGCAGGGCCTATGGGTGGTTCCCATCTCAGGCTCCAAGGCATGAAAGCTACCTGGGTTAGCGCCTTCGAAACAAGCAACCTCACGCACGATCACCTCCAGTCCACTCCAGTCCACCACCCCAGAGCAGATCATAATTCCAATGCTTGATCAATGACGCCTTTTGGCTCCCCTGATAAACTATTGTTTACCCTTCCCCTGGGATGTGCTCCATTCCCAGAATCTGCAGCCCCTCCACGTGGTACTGCTCTTGCGCTTGTAACATGAAGAGCGCTCTCTGCCTGCCAACGTGCTCAACCTTGACCCAACTCTGTGTCAATCACTCTACAGTACAGCCCCCTGCTGGACCAGTCGACTACGTCTCTGATTTGCTGTCAGGCAACCACAGATTGAAAATACGCAACCGATACTTCTCACCACATAGCGGATCACAATGACGTTTCTAAAGAGCGTTAGCGAATATGAGCACGACATCCCCGTTCTCACCCTGATCGGCAGCTGCCGCAACTCCAGCCACTTCCCCTATCCTTCCCATAAGTTACTCAATACACGGCTCTGTGCTCCATTCTACGTACTGGGTACTGTATGGTGCGGAAGGCGAAACCTTAATCACGGTAGCGGCATGCCACTAGCAAAGTCAATCGTCCTCGAGATTCGAGCTGCATTTGCTGCCCTGGGAGGCTATATTTCCCTATTGTCGGGATGTGGAGACCACGGAGATGTTCGCAAGGACTGCTGCCGAGTTGACCTTGTCTTTGGATTGGTCACACAGCCGCTGACAGGCAAGGTCGATCATTTTGTAGACTATACGAGCACAATCCGTGGTTTCCTACCCTCGAGATCTCCACCTTCGTGGAGAAAGGGTTCTCAGGGACGGCTCGGCAGCTGCTAGGCTATTTCAGCTGGTTCAGAGACATGAATCGCATTTAAGCGTCTCTCTTGATTGGATTTTGGAAAGCAGGCTCCTAGCTCCCAGGGTCCATTCATTCTTGGCGCATAGAATACTGCATCGTCGTTTCCGTAGAAGAAAACGGTATACCAACTTACTTGCTAGATGCATATAGCTACATACATCCCAAGATGATGAATACGAATGAACTTCTGGCTGCAGTCGCTCGATTCAGAAACGTCTGCCGAGTTTGCATGGATTCTGTGCTCTTGCTACTTACTCAAATGTCCTAGGCTATTTCGGCTTCCTATCCGGCATCACAGCGTTTCGAGTTTCTAGCTTGAACTAAGAAAGGTATGTGTATCGTTCAAGCCAGTAGTATCTCAGCATCGCCTCGGAAAAGCTCCTTTGATCCGAAAGTGTGGCTTTCAGCCACTGCGTGGTGGGACAGTAAACAAAACGCAGATCACAATGGCAGTGGCGGGATTTGTTCCGAAGGCTGCATGCGATTTGAGTGAAGATCAGCGGGACCTCGCGAACTGTGATAATTGAGCAATCGACTTCATTTCGTACCTTGCTTGATGCTCACCACCAGCCGTATGTCGTGAGCTTTTCTGAAGCCCAGAGTTCATTTCACTGCTCACCTTTAACATTGTGTTTGGACGTCTTGAAATCATGACTATGCAAGCAAGAAGCAGCAAACGCAGGTCATGATATGTCTTCACTCGACTGTACCTGATGATCACAGGTAAAGTCCAAACGGTGTAAAGCCTGAGAGGGTAAACAGACTATGATCATCATTATCCTATGCCAATCCGTATCCACAATGAGGCAGCTCGTCATCTCCATTCTCTCGCTCTCCTGAGCAGAAGCTACAGGTTAGGCAATTGATGTCGATCCATCATCATCCCACACTCCTAGGCCCTCGTCAAAGCAGAGAGCCAGGGCAAGTGAATCGGGATCAATTGCCAATCCAGCTTTGGCATATAAAGACGGTCTTCACCACCAATTCTTCTCTTTTCTTTTTCTCATCCAGCAACGAATCATTCACTCTTTCTCGAAGTCCAACTTCCTGTCATTCCTTGTGAATACTTAATACCATAATCAACATACTTCTCTCTCTTTTTTTCCTATCACACATATCATCACAATGAAGGCTGCTTTCCTCACTGTTCTCGCCGCTCTGGCCACTTCCACCATCGCCGCCCCTGCCGGCAGCTTGACTGAGCTCACTCAGGTTACTAAGTCTCTCTCCTCTTCCGGCTCTTCTATCTCTAGCGGCGCTGTTGCTCCCTCTGCTGCTGCCGGCTCTGCTAGCGGCCATATCGTTCAGGACCTGAGCGGCAATGTCAAGCAGATCCTCACCGTTACTGGACCTGATGCCAAGCAGCTCCTCATCGAGCTGAGCCCTGATGTCACTGGTCTTCTTTCCAGCCTCGGCCTCCCCGGCGTCGGAGTCGCTGTTGGCAGCGTCGTTCAGTCTGCTTCTAGCCTCGGTGACCTGCTGACTGACCTCGCTCAACCCCTTGAGGGTCTGCTCACCGTTGTCGGTCAGGATGGCGGCGCTCTCCTCATTCAGCTCGACCCCTCCGTTACCGCTCTTGTCTCCAGCCTTGGCCTGCCTGGCGTCGGTACCCCAGTCGGAACCGTTGTCGGTACTCTGGGTCAGAACCTGAAGCGCTCCAACGGCGAGGTTGTCCAGGATCTTGCCCCCCAGGTTAAGAACGTTCTTGAGGTCACCGGCCCTAACGCCAAGCGCCTTCTCGTTCAGCTTAGCCCCTCTGTCGCTTCCCTCGTCGCCAATCTCGGTCTCCCCGGTGTTGGAACCTCGGTTGGCAGCATCGTCAAGACTGCTGGCAACATTGGTGACCTTCTCAAGGATCTCAGCACCCCCGTCGAGCAGCTCCTCACCGTTGTTGGTCAGGATGGCTCCTATCTCCTCATCCAGCTGTCTCCTGAAGTTGCTGGCCTCGTCAGTAACCTCGGACTTCCTGGTGTTGGCACTTCGGTCGGCGCTGTTGTCGGCACTGTCGGCGACAATCTGTAAATGGTGAGTGTTGCTGGCTCCGCAAGTATGGGGAAAGAAATTGAACGAGACTAACACATCTCTTACTTTGCTTAGGGGACCATGCTTGGTGGACACCACGACATCATTGAACTTGTTCCAGATACCCTTTTTCATTCGATAACGTCGGTGTGATGGCCCGATGGGTGACCGACCATGTATAGCAACGAGCAAGCTACAGTGTATCTATTCCATTCTGGTGTATCTTTGCGAGCCTGCCGGCGTGTCGGTTTTGCATATATTGGGAGAACCCCCAGACTATATAGATTTAATCTAATTTTACGAATTACTGTGATTCCCACCGCGTCTGTCGCACACTTCACGGCGTATCTAGCTACACCGCCGATCTGTTTCGGGGATTGAGGCGGACGTCTGAACGATGGAGCTCGACAGCCCTAAGGAGGTTTGACCACTTTGGCTGACCCGGAACAGACACGAATTATCCATCCTCCGCGATCCTGCATAGTGATCAGTGACCAGGAGAGTAAGTTCTGACGAGCAGTTCGGCCCCTGAGCAACGTCCAGCCTCCAATGACCATCGGAGGAATGGGTGTGGATTTTGCAAGTTGTTATTGGGGTAGGGCTAAATGGCTCTGGTGTTTCAGGTGAGCGGGCCATCCATCCATCGGCCACTGCGATTCTTCCCGGCTTCGGCAACTAGCAACTTGCCTTTTCCCCCTTCCATGCTCAACTCTCATCTCATCGTTTCACTACCACTACTACTCTTGCTCCATCTTGTTATAACTTCTTCAATGTACATCACAAATAAACACGTTAGATACGTTCGATTTGTTCAAAACTAGGAGAACACGGTGCTTTGAACTCCGTATCTGAAGACAATCTGAAGCTCAAGCCATGCTGATTTACCCGACGTCAACCCGCGCCCACGAGGGGGGATTTAATCTGTTTGAGGCAGGGACCAGAGCCTGCTCGCCATACTCCAAATCTAGGACCTGGCTCTCCATAGTGGCTCCGTGAACTCCATCGCGCCAAGTGTATGGCCGACGCTGATGGTTTTAAGTTGGTCCAGGTTTTGCCTAGTTGGGCAAGCTGCCCCGTTGTGTGCTGTCAAGAATAGCATTACTCGATCGATGGGGGAGTAGTCTATCGACTAACGACGACCGAGATGTCTCCTGTTTCTTGGCTTCCACTCTCCACGCGACTTAAAGAAGAATCGTTAGCGGCTGCAAGGCGGTTAGCTCAAACGGCAAGCCGCTGTCGGCAAATGGCCGCTACGGTGGAATGCTTTCTGATATAAAGAAGGAGGCAAAGGCTCACTGACGTGGACTCGGTGATACATCCTCTCACTTTCCTTTCTTTTCATGTACACTCTTTGAAAGACGTCTCTATCACACTCTTTTCGGTGTCATTTTTTTTTTTTGTTTCTTTCGTTCCTTTTCGCTTCTCTATCGCCAAATCGGCACGGCACCATGCTTGTCGACCAACTCTCTCTTTTTGCCGCCGTGGGCCTGGCGCCCCTTCTCGCTGCTGCGCAGTTGAGCGGCTCTGTTGGACCTTTGACCTCGGCCAGTACCAAGGCTGCCACCAAAACCTGTAATGTTCTCGATTACGGAGCCAAGGCGGACAAATCCACCGATCTGGGCACTCCCTTGGCCTCTGCCTTTGCCGACTGCAAGACGGGCGGCTTGGTCTACATCCCCGAGGGTGACTATGCGATGTCCACCTGGGTCAAACTGGCCGGAGGTTCAGCCTGGGCCTTGCAGCTGGACGGTACCATTTACCGTGACAGCACGGAGGGCGGAAACATGATCATGATCGAGCACACCAGCGACTTTGAGCTCTTCAGCAGCAACTCTAAGGGTGCCATCCAGGGTCTGGGCTACGAGCTACACAAGGATAACAACTACTCCGGCCCACGCCTGCTGCGCGTGTGGGATACGACGGATTTCTCGGTTCACGATATCATTCTGGTCGATTCGCCTGCTTTCCATTTCTCGATCGATACTTGCACCAATGGTGAAGTCTACAACATGGCCATTCGTGGTGGTAACCACGGTGGTCTTGATGGCATTGACGTGTGGAGTGACAACATCTGGATCCACGATGTGAGTATATCGTCCAGTTTCGCAAACTGACTGAGGCTAATGGCGACATATAGGTCGAAGTGACGAACAAGGATGAGTGCGTCACGATCAAGGTATGACCCCATGTCTTATATCATATCAAAGATAAAAATCCTCACGAGACCTGCAGAGCCCGGCACACAACATCCTGGTCGAGAACATCTACTGCAACTGGAGTGGTGGCTGCGGTATGGGCTCCTTCGGAACCGATACCAACGTCACCGATATCACCTACCGCAACATCTACACCTGGAACTCGAACAACATGATGATGATCAAGAGCAATGGCGGAAGTGGGTTCATCGAGAACGTTGTCCTTGAGAACTTCATTGGTATGCCTCAAGACGCTGCCTCACTGACTACGAAAACGAGTGTTAACCATAATTTCGCTAACTAGGTCACGGTAACGCCTACTCCCTCGATATCGACAGTGCGTGGGCCAGTATGAGCACTGTGGAGGGCGATGGAATCCAGATGAGCAACTTCACGATCAAGAACTGGAAGGGCACTGAAGAATACGGTTTGACCCGTGGACCCATCAAGATGATCTGCCCTACCGGTGCTCCTTGCTACGATATCACCATTGAGGATTTCGCCATGTGGACTGAGAAGGGCAGCGTGCAGTGGTACTCCTGCCAGAGTGCCTATGGATCTGGATTCTGTCTGAAAGACAGTGACGACCACGCCGCCTATTCCGCTTCCACCACCACTGTGAGCTCGGCTCCCTCGGGCTACTCCGCCACCACGATGGCCGGCGATCTGACTGCGGCCTTCGACACTACCCTTTCTATTCCTATCCCTACCATCCCCACTTCCTTCTACCCTGGCGCTACTCCCTACAGCGCCCTGATGTCCTTGTCCTCTTCTGGCGCTAGCCACGGTACCCCTGCGACCAGCGCAGCTCGTGCTACTAGCTCGGCTACCAGCTCGGCTACCAGCGTTGTGAAGTCTTCTTCGTCCTCCACCTCGGAGTACGTCGCGGCCACCAGTGCTGCTGAGTTTGTTGCCACCACCGCTGTGAGCAGCGCTCAAGAACAGATTACCAGTGCCCCCAGCTCGTCCAGCTCGTCCAGCTCCTCTAGCAAGCATCACCAGGGGGGTCAGTGGCAGCAGGGACAGGGATGGGGCCAGTCTCGGGAGGAGGGTGTGGGTGGCTGCAACGCTTAGGATGTTAGATCGATTTCTAACTTCTGCTGTGAAATGAGGTTAGCAGCCTGGTTGCACAGCAATTGTCCCGAAAAAGTTGACAGGGAGGGAGAATCTGCAGTAGTCAAGTGTCTCTGCAAGTCTGTCCCACTTAGTATAATCTAACACATAGCATTAAAAAAAATCAATTGAATTGTCTCGCGACCCTGTTTGGTGTGCTGCTGCTGCTTGCTGCATGCGGGAAGTGGTTCCAGCCGGTGCCTGGATGTAACCTTATCGCCCCTGAGCTTGGACATGGATCTTGACACTGAGCCAGTTCACATCTCAACATAATCGAGTAGTGTGACTGCTTCCAACAATTTAATATTGATTCGATAAAGGGAAAAGAGCAGAGTCCTTTTCTTTTCTTTTAAAGATAAAAATTAGCCCACCTGCCGACCGACGGGAAAGTGCCAGGGCTTACAGCAAGCGGGGGTGATGTCACTGTCACCCGCAACTCCGAAGCAGGAATGAATCCCGCACTAGACTCTGTACAGATGAGGGAAGAAGGGAGCTTTGGCCTCGACCGTCCTTAGATTGTTTGCTGCTTGCTGCCACCCCCGCATGTGCTCTTGGAGCTACCCTCCTCCCCTCCTCCCCTCCTCAACGCTCTTTCGCCTCCCCCTCCCACCCTCTGTCTTCCTTGTCTTTTTTTCTTTTTCTTTTTCTTTCTCTTTCCAGCACTGCCTTCCCATCCGATCTAAACCTTCCCAACTCTTTTCAACCTTCTCAGGCTTAGGGCTGGACGCTGTTCGTTTGGCTTTACTTCAGTTCGGTTTCTCCATCCGAAGCATCACCACATCTCTCTAACCCTTCCAATGGCATCGGATTCAGCACCCGCAGATGGCACCGGTGAGTGAAACTCCCTTCATAATCTGAAGCATGCTGATCGTTGCTCACCTTTCTGATTCAGGTGTCATCAAGCTCGACCCATGGCTCGAGCCGCACCGTGACGCCCTCAAACGTAGATTCGAGTTTGTCGAGCATTGGGTCAAAACGATCAATGACCATGAGGGTGGCTTGGAGAAGTTCAGCAGGGTACTTTCTTGATTTTATTTTCTCCGTCAAACACCATATCCCGCGAGCTGATCGCGAGTCCGATCGAAATACCTTACCTTATTCTACTAATCATCTCCGATCGTCCCGCATTCCACTGACACTGACCAAAACCATCGGGTGAAAACCGATAGGGCTATGAGAAATTCGGCCTCAATGTCGCCGAGAACGGGGATATTATCTACAGGGAGTGGGCGCCCGGAGCCGTCGAAGCTCAATTAGTCGGCGAATTCAGTACGTCTAGGTGCTATTCCCTGAGATTCATGGAAGCGAATTACTGAACAATGGGGGGCAGACAACTGGGACATCAAGGCAAATCCGATGAAGCAGAATGACTTTGGCATTTGGGAGGTCATAGTACCGGCTAAGGATGGCGCACCAGCCATCCCGCACGATAGTAAGATCAAGGTGCGGCTGAACCAGGACCCTCCCCCGGTGATGTTATTGCACGATAAGGCTGATGTCTCGCATCGCAGATCACGATGGTCACACGCGGTGGGGAGCGAATCTACCGTATACCCGCCTGGATCAAGCGCGTCGTACAAGATCTGACCGTATCCCCGACCTACGAGTCGGTGTTCTGGAACCCTCCCGAGGCCGAGCGGTATCACTTCAAGCACCAACGTCCGACCAAGCCCGAGAGTCTGCGCATCTACG